ACCCCCGCCCAGCGCTCGCAACGGCCGTTGCCGGAGCTCGGTGCTCCCACAGGAGAGGGAAATACCCTCCTTCCTGGCCGTTCTTGAGCTCTACCATGCCCAGCAGAGCAAGTCAGCCTGAAAGAGACACATTCTGATGCACCTGCCTTACGGAGCTTACCATCTTTGCCATGAGGAGCAGTCTCTAAAACGGTTTTATGTTTTGCTGTGATGAAAGAGGTAGACTTGCTGATGTGAGGGAACCTGGCCTACTTTCCAGCATTTCATAAAAAAAAGGTCTACAGGGGAGCACACAGTAATATCCATTTGCTCTTTACATCACGACTACTACCACATTTGACTAAAAATCACCATAAGCCAGCACACCAGATCTTCAGGCACCATCCTTTCAAGAGTGGTTCACATTTGCACACACATGCCTCAAAAACAGCTCTCTTAAAGGGAAAGGCTGAGAGAACTTGGGTGGTTCAGCATGCAGAAGAGGATGCTCTGGGGAAGCTTTATTGCACCTTTCCAGTGTCTGAAGTGGCTACAAGAAGGCTGGAGAGGGACTTGTTACAAGGGCATGCCGTGATTGAACCAGGGGGAATGACTTCAAACTGACAGTAGATTTAGATTAGGTATTAGGAAGAAATTCTTTAGTCTGAGGGTGATGGGGCCCTGGTTGCCCAGAGAAGCTGTGACCGTCTCATCCCTGGAAGAGTTCCAGGCCTGGTTAGACAGGGTTTGGAGCCATGTGGCCTGATGGAAGGTGTTTGTGCCCACAGCAGCGGGTTGGAATGAGATTAAAGTTTCTTCCAACCCAAACTACTCTATGATTCTACAATCAATGTTATTCATCTGGTTTTGTCCATTGGTCATTCATGTTAACACATCAAAATAAAAAGACCATTAACCAGAACTAAATGAACCCTGTCTCCATAACCACAGCAAGAATGTACTTCATCCTGTTGCGGTGTACCTTACTAGGCTGGGCTGCATTCACCTCCTTAAGAGGTGAATAATAAATAATAAGGAAGTAGTGCAGAGGTTCCTTTACAAAATGTATAAACGAGGGGTACCACCTTTAGAAAAGGCAGGCTTCTGGTTGATCTGCACTGGCAAAATTTTTACTTAGGATTTCACTACAGTGCTGGGATGCCATCAAAGCCTGCTAAGATAGAAGGCTACTGCCTAACTATTGCAACAGCTTGTTTTGCTTTCTGCTTTTGCCAGCTCAGCCCTATTTAGAGGCAAAGGATTACATTTAACTGGCTGCAGCTCACTTTCATATCTCCACAACAGACATAACAGTATTGTCAGTATTTGTTCCAGATTCCTTCTATCATGAATGGATTCTTGCTTTGGTAATGTGCAAAACAAAGGTAGCATCGGGGGTTTCATCTTCCTGATATTATCTTCTTGTTGTCATGGAAACTAATATAGACTCAGTTAGGAGGAAATATTAGGTAGCATTGTGGGTGGTGTGATGGTGTGGTTTCTGGGATGACGTATTATAAAAAGGAGCAGCTAGAAAAGGCAAGAATCTCTTATTTGTGTTTAGCCACTAGTCTTATTGGCAACATAGCTGTACTTCATGGTCAGCAGTATGGGTAGGAAGGACACTTATGAGCGTGTACACTGACTTACATAGCTTGAGAACTTCATGTTCTCAAGAATTAATTTCAGGAATTTTCAAGAATAATTAATTTATTCTAACTACAGCTGAAATCTACACAACCTTGACTTTCTATGATACAAATAAGAGATGGTTATCAAAAATAGAACATAAGCCTCCGAGTAGGGAACCCAGTTCAGCCTAGACTTCAGTCTGGAGCCACACCCCGGTGAGATTTGTATAACTACAAAATAAGGAAGATGGGATAAGCTGAGTAATGTAGACATCCTCCTTCAGTTTCTCTTATCTGTGAACAAAGAAAATAATTTCTCTCTTCATAGGTAGGGTATTGGAGGTATGAATATCTTGAAAAGCATAGGCTGCTTAATGTTGTGCTAATAGGAATTATAAACCTCCTGTATTTGCCCAAAGGTATTAAAATCTAACTAAACAAAATATGCATGTTATTCTTGATTTTAAGGATTCCTAAGACTAACCAACTCTACTGAAATTTTTCAAGAAATGATTCCTGAAAAAAGTTTTTATTTTAATATTCTCCAGATCCTTATGGTGGCCCTCTACATATAGAACAACGACCCTTTGTATTGACATCACTGACATCTGCCTATTCAGCATGACTTTAACTCCTTCCTGCTTCTCCAAAGTACAAATGCATAAATCTTTAAATCAGATTTTATTACAACTCAGGTAACTCATAGTAGCCATTTAGATGGGCCACTGGTATAACCCACTAGTGCATTTCCTGTGGCTTACCTGCTTAAATATTAGCCAGTGGAATTATATGCTCATTCCAAAGGCTGTTCCCCACAAAATCATTACCATATTTATCAATGCCTATTTTGACCTCCTGTCCTCCTTGCAAGGCCCCACAGTGACTGCCACTGTCCCATTTTGGCCTCCTCCATTTCAAATGAGACAATTTTTCGAGGTCTGCTGCCTTTCTTAAGGGTTTGCCAGTTTTCCCCATTCTCTCATCTCCCTCTTAGAACTCCTAGAATAATTCTGTGCTGTCTGTAGCTGCAAGTGATGTTCCATACCAAATCTTGTCTATTAATTACTCTCCAGTCCCCATTTAGCCTCAAAACAGCTGTTCACTGCTGCTGCACAGTGAGTAACATTCATCACAAGTTATTAGCAGACCTCACTAACAGTAAATTCACACTGCAATTTTATGTGTAGCAGATAATGATAACAAGTTTAAATTCTATTATCTGGGTAAAGTGCTCTATAGGGAAAGTTGTGACTATTTATTTGCTTGTCCTATTTTATATCATGAAAAGTTGCAGAATCCCAACTTCACTTGAGAACAACTTACAATTAATTTTCATGCATCATGAAAATTAATTTCAGCTCTGTGACTGTGATGGCTTTGCAAAATGTTGAAGCTTTAGAAAAACATAAATGCTTGACAATTGCTTATAGTGAAGAAGTGTCCTTATATTGTTTAGTATAAATCCAGAAAGTGTCAGAGATAGATAAAAACTAATTAAGGGTCGAGTCCTGTCACCAGCTGGGCATCTCTGCTTATTTTTGCAGACTATAATGGAACTACCTTTATATATAAAGTGCTCACATGCACATGCACTGTATCTCAAGCTAGGTGAGCACTTGTAGCAGAATGTAGTGAGGAAAGATAATCTGGCTCAGAGGTAATTTTCACTTTGGACAGTGCACTTTCATAATAGGGTGTCACACATTGAGATATGTGAATTGCCACCTTCAGTCACAATTTAAAATGCCAGCTTTTTATTTCTGTAATATACCTTGAGTTATACTTCTGACTGAACCACAGAAGGTGTACTGTACTAATAGATTCTGATTTACATTTTAAAACCGCTGCCACACTGCTTCCTCTGAAATAAACACTGCAAAACCATACATGGCTTTACTCTACGACATCCTAAATTGAACGGATTGCCCAAGAGGAGTGCATTTACACTAGTGCTAACGGTCTGCCCCTGTGAGGAAGCTGAAATACTGAAATTCAACTCCAGCTTTTTGTGCTTTTTCTTCTCTCCACAGAATTGCTTAGAAGGCAAACCGCAGACCCCTTCAGGTGGATTGCGAGCAGCATCAAAACAAGGCTTTTTCCCAAGAGATGGAGGGGCTTCGGCGGCCGCCGCGCGGGAGAGGCCCTGGGGGAGAGGGCTTGGGAATACAATGGTGGCGGTAGCGGCGTCGCCACGGCCACGACCGCTCGCGCGGCGCTCCGGGGCGGGCACGTAGTCCGCGCAGCCCTCAGCCGAGGCGGCTCCCGGGGAACGCTTGGGTCGCCGCCGCAGCCAATGCTCACGCAGACCGGGGAGACGCCGCGCGATTCCGTGCCCGGGTGCCCCACCGTTCTTAGTGTGCTCGCTGAACCGAGTAACGGGGCTCCTGCCTGGGGCTGAGACGATGTCCTTATGAGGGAACAGTCCCTCAGACTGCTCGTCATTCGCTTTGACGGACCTGAACAGTCACCGCTATGACAAAAAATTCCGAAATTCACTTCCGAGGGCTCTACACTGAAACAGGAGCTGAGCAGTAGCGAAGGGACAGCGGAGGCGAGAGACCCTCGTTCCCCAGTAACGGTGTGAAGCCACGAATGGCGGAAACAAAGCCCGAGCTCGCGGGCGTCCCACGAGCCACCGGTGTGGCACTGTACGTGCCCTCGGGCCGGCGGCACTACGTGCCTAGGCGTGACCCGGCTGCCAGAGGGGAAGCCGGGGGCCACGCTCTCTCGTAGCAGGCGGAGTGCTACTCGGTGGCCAGCACCGCTCAGCGCCCGGACAGCGCTTTTAGGCTGGTGGCGCTGAGGACGTTGGGCGACCCATACGGCAACGCGGGTTTCCCGACGAAGAGCTGAGCCCGCGTGGCCCCACGAGCGAGGACAAAAGCAGCCAGTGGGACGACGCCGCGCCGACCCTCGTAGGGTGGTGCCAAGGGGTGCGAGAACAGTCCGCGTCGTGCCCACGTCCCCGCCGGCGCCCAGCGTAGCCTCTGGGCACAGGATGAACCCGTGACTCTTACGCCGCGCTTTGCCCAAAGCTTGGGCGGCGCAAGGGCTCATCCGCCGGCCCGGAGACCCCCACGCAGAGAAGAGCCCTCGGTCAGGTCGGCGCTCTGGGTTCGGCTCACCCGGCTCCGGACCCCCCATTTAGCCCTCCCCGCGGCGTTCGTCCGCGTGCCCCCGGCAAGGACTCCGCAGCATCAGCCTCAGTACCTGAGTCACGTCCCGCGTCTCGGCGCGGGGATGCCCGTGCTGGCGCCGGACCGCAGCCCGCTGTGCCCGTGTGCCCGCGCAGAGCCGCACGGCCCGTCTGCTCCCGGGCTGGGGAGCGCTCCCGCGCGGCGGCTCTGGAGCTGCTCGCCCCGCCCTCCACACGGGGCGCACCCTGGGTCCTATCGCCGCCGCGGCGACTCCCCCTCCGCTACAGGTTCTTCGGCGCCCGGGCCCCGGCTGCGCGCAGCGCGACTCCACCGGCGCCGGCTCCGAGCGGGGCCCCGGTGCCTCACAAGGCATCAGCACGAGCTTTGCGCTGCTTGCGTACAGTGCAACGCGGGGCTGGACCCTGCCGGCACGAATGCTGGGCTGGCTGTCCGGAGGAAGAGGACCTGAGCAGTGGACTTCAACTTATGAATGGATTTCTGCTGTTGAGGTTTGTTCTGTGCTACCGTTTCTGTTTTTTCGGGAGCGATCAGTTTCCTCATTGTCTCCTCCCACGAGAATTACTCCTACGAGCTTCCTTGCTTAGTTGTTTTCTTCTTAGAAATTTGAGTGTGATAGTGTGCATTCTGTAGACGACCGTTAGGCTTCCCTCCTCATCCTTTACCAAGGGAGTAAATATTATATTACTCCCTGCAAATACAGTTTCATAACATACTCCTCCTTTTACATACGGATGGACTGAGCTTTCTGCATTAATCTCTTGGGACTCAACTGGGATTCCTACAAACATTTGATTATAAAACTGATGTGCTGATCTATGAAAGTTGTGGTGGGATTCTTAAAGGCACCAAAAGTAGCACTCCTATGGATACCAGGGGCTTAGAAAATTCAGGAGTAGGTGACTCCATTCTTTTGTGTGCTTCTAGCACACAATCCAATATATACGGGAATGACACCACACCTTAAATCCTGTGTTTGGTTTTCACTCCCTCACAACAAGACAACATTGAGGGGCTGGAACATGGCCAGAGAAGGGCAACAGAGCTAGGGAAGGGTCTAGAGCACGAGTCTGATGGACACTAGCTGAGGGAGCTGGAGAGACTCAGCCTGGAGAAAAGGAGGCTCAGGAGACCTTATCACTCTCTACAGCTACCTGAAAGGAGATTGTACCAAGGCAGGCATCTGTCTCTTCTCCCAGGTAACAAGTGATAGAACAAGAGGAAATGGCCTCAAGTTGTGCTGGAGGAGCTTTAGTTTAAATATTGGAAAAAATCTCTTCTCCAAACAGGTTGCCAAGCATTGGAATGGCATGTCCAGGGAAGTCATGGAGTCACCATCCCTGGAGGTTAACAGCTGAACTCAACGATCTTGGGGAAAAAAAAATTTCTAAATGATTCTATGATTCCTATAACCTATGTGGACTTACCCAGGGGTAGGATTCTAAGTAGGAGAGGACAAGTAGGATACAATATTGTCTTTTGAGAACTAGGATATCACACAGATTAGTGGCTTCCAATGTAAAACCTACTTGCTGAAATCATGTAATACCAAGGCAGGAACTGAAGCTCTTTTAATGACTTAGAAGTTTTTTCTTTCCCTTGCGCATTATGTTTGCATTGGCTATTGGTTCAATTTTGCTGAAATATAGTACCCATTTGTACATGCTTAAGGATTCATTGCATTAATGTGTGAAGATGAGCAAGGCCATGTGGTTTATTTTGAGCAGATAACATACAGACAATAAGACTGACACTGCTAATCTTAAAGACTAGTAAAAGTAAAACCAGTTTTTGACTGTCCTGCTGTTATCTGAATTCAGGCCATTCACTTGCAAACTAGGTGTATTCAGATTTCAACATCAATCCCTGAAATGACATTGCGTAGTCTGTAATCTTTTTTACTCACCATTAAAGTTTGTCTGTTTGGGACACTACTGAATCACTGTAAGTTATCAATTACTCATTTAGGGAACTAACATGCATTTAACTATGTGACTAGGGGCTGATTGAAGGTACGTTGGAGAAGATGACAGCTAATTTGAAAGGGGGGGGCAGGGGTGAGGAAGGGTTGAAAAGATAATGTGGTTGATAGGTTAGGCAATGGCTAATATAAGGGTGTAAAGAATGCCAGCAATCAGAATGGTGTACGGACTTGGACATTTGCCTATTATGTGCTGATTCTGATGAGGGCTCTGAGGGGCCCACTGCACAATATAAATTATGCCGGGACTTGCGCTATAATTTTTGTGTGTTCATATATAGAAAATCATTTTAAGCCAGGTTTCACCATTGTATTTTAAACCAGAGGTGATTCATATAAGTAAATTAACTAAATCTCTTTAATAATTGCAGTATTCTGTAACTATATTTTGCTAAATGGAACTTGCTTTATTTCGAAAGTCAAATTGTTAGTTCTGATTCTAATTTTCATTGTTAGTGGTGGAAATAAACCCCTTCTTTCTTTAACTGGCATGGGGCTGGACACGCAATTCCCTTCTGATGACATAAGGAAAATTATATAAGAACTACTGATAATGCTCTATCTTCTCTAAATTAGTGTACTTCAGATATCATTTGGGTGCAGCATTCGAGTTTCTGGAAGTTTATATGATCTAGAAAAACAGAAGACTGACACAACATTACAGGAAGTTTGCCTCATGACTTCCAGACAAGCAAGTCATCTAGTGTGACTAAGGGAAAATCATGCTTTAGGCCTGCTGCATGTTACATCTTCCTCTGTCTCACCTAGACAGTGTAAAGCAGTTTAGTTGATGGATACAGTTTTTAATAATTAAGTGCCAAGCTTTTTAAAGTTTTTCACATGATGCAGTGGGAGTTCAGAGAGGACGGGAAGTTTGTTCATATCAGTTAACGGCTGTACTTGTAAGGGGCAAAGAGTCTCCTTCCTGATCTGCGCTAGGGAGAAATTGATTAAAAATAAACGGTTGGATAAACAAAATGTATAGGAAGACAAGTGAACGAGAGAGTGAGATCTGAGAGTATGGAACAAGTACTAGCTGTCTTTTGGGAGAAGGGGGTCTTACTGAACGAGACGGGGGCTGCAAAGGAGCGTGCCCGCGCTCACACGAAGCAGAGAAGAGGCTGCTGCGTGAGAGTAGTGAGGACGGAACGGGGAGAATGCGAGGAGGAGAGAACACGCTGCCGGTTCCTGGAAGTGAATGCAATACGAGGAACCGAGAAACAGGAGGCAGACGGGGGCTGGCACTGCCTCCGGGAGCGAGGGCCGGAGCGGCGGCGGCAGCAGCGGCCCCGCACCGGCGGCGCCATGGAGACGGGCCCGCCCCCGCGGGGCCCCGCCCGCCGCGGCCCGAGGGGCCTGCGGCCGGGAGCGGAGCCATGCGGAGGTTCGTGCCGTCAGGAAGCCGGTCGCCACTGGGCTTCTCCATCGGAAGGCAGTGCGGTCGCACGGCATCCCGTTGTGCCGCAGGTTGTCCTTCGGAGCTCCCGATGCGTCGCCTGCGCATCTCGCGCCCTCTTCTCTCTCTGGGGACCCTCTTTCTTTTCTGTACTCTTGCTGCAACGTGCCCTCTCTTGTGCTGTCCCTGAGTCCAAAGCATTATCTTGTGCTCCTCTCTACTGCCTACATCTAACGGGTTTATCTTCGACAGTCTGCCTGCCATCTGCTCTTCTGCCTCAGAGCCCTCCATGGAATCCTTCCTTGTGGGCTCTGCTTCCTGGCAGCCAGTTCCCTTGGCAATGTTGTCTTTTGCCGACACTCGATTGTCTTTTCCTCCCACTGTGCACTTCAAGTTTAGTTAATCTTTTTAACTGTGGTTAAACTGTGGTTTAACTTTTTACCTGATCCATTTGGAACAACTGTTGCTGAAAATGTGATACTAAAACAGCAGATCTTTCAGTGTTGCATGTTATAGGCAGGAAGGCAGTACTGTTCATGAATATCCATAATTGTGACTTTTTAAAAAGTCATCTACTTCTTACTCAAATGAAGAAGATGTTACTTACAGTAACACTAGCATGGTCGTGGGATTTGAACATTGCCTACAAGAATCAGAATATGAAGAGAAAACACTGTTTTAATTAACTTAGGGATAAATGTGAAATCTTGGCCAGCAGAGTTGAAAGACCATCAGATCATTGTCCTTTAGCACCGTTTGTTCCTCAGTATACCTGGGAAGACCAAACTCGAATTTTTTTATACTTCTCACTTCCAACGATCAGTGACTCATTTTTCGATCCTAGAGACCTGGAGTTGTCTAGATTGTTTGTGAAGAAAAATGTTATTTAAATTATGACATCCTTTACCATAGAGATATTGCGTAGCATTTTCTGATCTGAAAAATCTCTCATTTAAAGAGATTAAAGAGACACTATTTGAAAGGCATGCTTGTCTGATTTGTTTTCTGCATCCCTGTGCTTATTCAGAAGGGATTATCTGCAAGCAGTGACACAGAATAATACTGTACAATGAGAGAAGCTATATTTCCCCAAATCTCTGGAGAGAGCTGAACAGAAATGACAATTTTTTAAAGCATCCATACTGCTTAAAAATGATGGGTTTTTTCATCTACAGAATTTATAATCAGATAAGAGGCAAATTGGAGAAAAAACAATATGGAAGAGGTGGATGTGAAACAAGTAAAGGGTTTTGCATGTAAAAGCACAGGCTCTCTCTGTTGGTTATTTTCTTTTTAAGTAAAAGCAGACAAATGGGACACAGCAGCTAATATTGTTAATGAAAGAGAGGGCTGAACTGTTCCTTGATTGGTCATACATATCTCAAAGAAAAGGTAAATATGTGTGCAACGTGCAGGGTGGAGGGAATAAACACTTATTTCTGTTCTGTCTGCACATAATTCTTGTTTAATGTAATTACTGTCTTCAGAAATAACAGTCTCTTTGGGGTTATTCTCTGCTTAAAATGGTAATTGTTATAAAATGCTGTAAACTGTGCTGGATCCAACTGCATTTATAATGTAGAGATGGCTGGCTAAGTTTTAAATAATTTTTTTTATTTACTGTGGGTGATCTGGTCAAGATTCTGGAATTCATCAAAGATTACTAAATGATTGATGTTAATATGGTGCATATGCAAATTCATTTAAAGTCAGTTTAGGAGTTTTACATGGAGCATATCCTTTGGGATTGGAATGAAGAATTTGAGTCTCTTAAATCCA